AAGGACCACAATATAAACAGATTAGAAGCGGCACCACGGAGAAACACTTCAGATCGGTTAATTGCTTTTCCTCAATGCACAGCAGAAATGCTGAGTTTCCAGAGCTGGTAAAAATTGGCAGGATAAATTTTCGAAATATCCGCTATATCAGCCAGGAAAAAGATCGCCCCAGACCATCAGAGTGAAAGAAGCCATTGATGTTGCTAAGATGCAGCTGCTAAACCAAACTTTCCTACTTTGCGGCCTATTTCCAGCTTGCTATTGGTTCAGTTACACGGATGCACTAATCCGCCTGATCAAAGATTTATTTTTTGCTAAAATATATTGAGCAGTAATAAAAACAGAGAACAGTAAGCCCTACTTCTTTTTCTGGACCATGCTGAATTACCCAAATACCTCCAAGATTAAGTTTTAAGATATCTCCAAAAGAACACTTTTTTGAAAGGTTTCTCGTTAATGCACCGACAAAGGTAGAAATAGTTTTATAGAAGTAGAGATATTTTAAAAAAATCCAGAAATACATATGTATGCCATATTTAAGGCGCGATAAAAAAGCAAATGAGTAATGTCTCGAAACGACTAAAATTCATGCTACATACTTCTTTGAAGAGTATCAATGACCTTTTAATGCTTTCAAGAGAAAAATCGAAAATTAGGATGGACAAAATGCTGATTGGCTGGCGATGTATCACTGGTCAAAGCAGGTGGAAAAGTTTACAGCTGCGTAATTTGAGACTAGACCAAGAAATCGGAATCAAAGACCATATATTAAGCAAACCGCCATACTTTCGCGCCCCAGTTCGCGTTTTCTGTGTTCTCACTTATCCACCCCCTATATGTATTTCGAAGACAGCTGCAGAACTGCACATGTAGACAGTTCCTCTACGATGGTACCCATTGCTACCTAAGCGTTTTAACAAAGAGGCAAAAGAAGTGGAATCTGAACGATGTGTAACTGGACAGAAGATGGAACTGGGAGAGCGAAGCGAATTTGCATAGAAGCGAAGAAATTGCGCGAAATGAAGAGTTTTAGAGACTTGCTTGTATGGGAATCAAATTATATGCAACTGCCCTGAATAGGTGGATAATGAGAAACACGAGGCGTATGCGGCCAAGGCAATCGGGTAGAAGGAGAAGTGGCCCCGGGCTTGTGCAATTTGGGCCCAAGATGCTAAAGGAGACAGAAGGAAGGATGTCTGGGACATAGCTCGTTTTGCTGCTGATGAGTGCAGGGGAGAGGGCGATGTGAGGGGATTTACGACGAACGGCCTGGAAAGCTTGCGGTAAGCTGTAGCTAGTTAGCGGCGACTGGTTGGTTAGATTTCGCTACTACATTCACACACACACACACACACACACACACACACACTCATACATACACAGAGTACACATACATAAACATACACGCATCCGGGCAATCAATACAGGCAGCTGAAGAACGGATGAATCGAGTTTAAGCATCGAGGTGATGTCCAGCCAGAGGTGAAGGAAAGCGGGATTGGTATCGAAAGAATAGATCCGAGATTGAAGCAAAAGTAATGTGGTGCTGCTGAAAGGCTACTTGGGTTGTCGATGCGTCGTTAGCAAATCGAAGAGCATCTGTGCTACGTAATCTGATAGCAGTTGCATTTCCAGGCATATCAAAGTACGCTTCGGACAACAATGACATTGTTATTCGAACAATCACATCAAGCGTTCAAAGATAGAACGTAATTTTCCGCAGTTACTGAAACTCGGTTTACCCAAGTATGACAAAAAGATTGCAAATTCAGCTGCCCGGGACTGACCGGGGCTTACGTACGGGCACGTGGAAATTATGGCGGTAAAATTCAAAACTCGGGAATGAGAAAAGCTAGAAAGTTGCTCGGCTCGGCCGTCACTATACACGATTTGTGAAAATTTTTTCTTGGTGCGAGAATTTTTTCTTGGTAAAATTCGCTGGATTCTAACCCCTCCCCAACCTGTAAAACTTCCACCACTCATCGTGAAACGAATGCTGTTGTTTCACGATGGGTGGTGGGGGTTTGAATATTGCAGGTTGGGGGAGGGGCTAGAATCCTGCGAATTTCGTTTGAAACAAGGGAAAAGGGCTGAGATGGATGAATTTATTGGCTGCATGGCGTAGATCCTTTGTCGGTTGACTAATTCACGTACATTTGGAAGGGGAGAGGGAGATATTGGATGGAAAGGAAAGGAGAACGAAGTGTACTGCTGTTTTTTTGCCACGGATACCCGGCGTAGGGAAAGTGCTGAAATATTGCTTGTTTCCACAGTGCTCTTTATAACGAGGATAGAGAGAAGCTCAGATTTTGCTATGCAGGCGGAATTTAGGGTCAGTATAGAGATGGGAATCGAAGATACAAGTCAGGTGCTCAAGGAAGGGGCTGGAGACAGGAGTAAAAAGAATGAGACAACGCAGTACTAAAAGGAAGAGTAAATTAAAGCAAACCTGAGTTTGTGAATAAAAGCAAAAAAAAGGAAAATCAAAAAATCGGAACCTATGAATAAAAGCAAAAATTGAAAAAACAAAGGCAACATAAAAACTCTTCGTCAGTAGAGAACTTCTTCATTTATAAAACTCTTGCTTAGGCAGAGGTGGGAGCGATTGAGTTCCGCTAAAGGATATGAGCTGTGCAGAAAGATTGGTGTACTGAATGCATGGGAATGGAGTCAGCCTTTACTTGTGTGAGATTTTGGAAGCAGCAGTGAAGGGAAAAGCAGTCGAGCCTATTTATTTTCAGCTTAACCTGAGCATCAGGATCATAAATGTGGAAGCCATTTGCTGACGGATGTTTTTTGTAAAACAATTTCCACACGCATTGTTCATTTTTATGCGTTTTTGCATATGCAAGTGCGAAAACGCGTATAGGCAAGAGGCTGTTTGTGTATCTGTGTGTTCGCACATTTTGCCACCCAGTTCCAACTCGAGAACTAGAAGGTTGAAACTTAGAAGTATGCGCCCAAATTATGTGCGATCCTCCTGTTTAATACCATCATCTTTGTACTAATGGGTGCCGCGTACGGATGCCTAAAAAAAATATGTAGATTTTTTGGCAGTAAAGTGATCTCGGAAACCAGAAAGAATAGAGAGCTGAAACCTTGCAAGAATATTCTCTCTGCATGTGCGAACTAAAGATTTCAAATTCAGCCCTCCGGTGTGCGTGATCCTCACGTAAGGGTGTATGAAAGTTCTGTCGAGGAATTTGCTATCTCGGAAACCAGAAAAATCTGAAGTCCGAAATCTTAAGGGTTCCCTCCACATTCAACTTAAAGAGCCTCTTTTATGCCTCTTCAGCTAAATGTCACACGTTCCTGGTTTCTTTGGAGGGATTGTATCCTTTTCCAAATTATAATTTCCGCATTCAATGGAGGAGAATTGCCCCACTGACTAGAAAATAGTTCACCTGCAAATAACCATGAGACAAAAAGAACTCTTAATGCACAGTTAAATCGGAGATTTGATCAAGATAAGAAAGGATGGGTGTTTCGTTTGGAACTGTTATGAACGACAAATATGTAGACTGTGCCGACAAAAGAAGCCAGTTGTTGTTATTGTCCCTTCGATATCCTGGAACTTGCGCGTTTCCTTCGCTGACTACTTTCTGATATTTTTTATAACCGTAGTTTCATTTAAATAATATTGCCACGATTCTGATAAGGGAAATTCTGCAAGGGTGGTGCCTCTGATATCCGCGAAGTTATATAGGCCAAAATTTTTTAATTCATTAATAGTAGCAAAGTAGGCCTCGAAATATTCGCCACCTAGATGTGAGTGCGAACAGAAGGTGGATACAATACCGCATTCCGAGTGTGCCGGGTTGATTTTAATTTATTAAAAATATTAAAAATATCGATGATAAGGCGCATTTAAAGCTGAATTTGAAATATTTTGGCCGCATTTGAGCATAAAATTTCTTTGTAAAATTTCAGCTTCCCGAGTTCTGACTGGTTAGAGAGGTCGCTTTTCGTCACAAATATCTCTGATTATTCCAAATTTGCCACAGAGGCGTGCCCCAAAAAAGTTTGTCTTACGTCTATATGCCCACGTATAGACAACAAATATTTCAGTGGCGGCAGTTCAACTTGATTCTCGAATTAATATTTTGCCAACAGTATCTAGATTTCAACTTTAACATGTCAGCACGCTTGGTGCAGGAGCGCATTAAAGCTGAATTCGAAAACTTTGGTACAAACAGCCACTAGGAAAGCGATATGCAAAAGGGGTTGAGATCCAGGAGCGCGAACAAGGATAAGAAGAAAGTGATTAATTTTTGCAGGAAATATTTTCGAAAAACTGTAGGAATGGTAACTTTTTTCAACTTACATTTTCTCAGGAATGTTGTTTGAGTAATCCTATATTCCTGATATAAACAGCTTGCTTATAAGCAATCCTTCAAGCAGGCAATCATTGATAGCCTTACCACCGGTGGTTGTTTTTGGCACTTGCTGTCTGTGGGGCACTTTCCGCGCAGCTCAGCGTCTTGTAAAAAGTGAAGATGGAGGGATTTTTGGCTTTGGTATTCCTGGTATATGATATGATTAATAATTTTCATGGGTTGTTGCACAGAAAACGTTTCATATTGTAATTGTATGTATGCCAAATTTTCTGGATAATCCAAAATTTAGTAGTAATGCTAATGGAAATACCAGGACCTCTAGAGTAGTCCGAGTGGATATCATATGCTACTGAAGTGGTCTTACATGCTGGCCGCAGTTATGCCAGGCCATGGCACCCGTTCAGTGGCCGACCGAGTGTCCATCTCGAGAATACTATTTATTAATGCGCGACATCCACCGGTTGTCGGCAAGGCGAGCAACGTGCCTTGCCCATCGAATTCTTTATCGCACTAATGGACATAAGAAGAATTTACGAAAAGACACTGGTTTTGAGTAACAGAGCAACAGAGCTGTTAAAAAACCGAATAAATAAATATTCAAAATTTTCCAACTCTTTTTATAACCACGCGTGAGAATCCGCTAAGCAGCACACGTTACTCGTTATGCCGATAACTGGTGGCGTAGCCGATTGGTTATTAGCGTACATGGACAGAAAACAGCACTCAGCCGAGCTCCAACAAGTGCTGCGCAATGAAAATGACAAAAAATTATGGTACAAAGAGTCTTCTATCGTAAGATAACAGATGACGATGCTGTGCTTGATGTGAGAGAGAATTAGGCTCGAAATGTTACTCTAGGCTCCCTTGACAGTATTTGTTCCATTTATAACTTGCGTGATTTCCAGATACGGCAAAAGATAAGACGACTAACCAAGCTTGTTGTACTGATTTCGTATTTCGCAGTCTTAATGTTCTATTTTTATGGAAGATGTGAGAAAAACCGAAAGGAGGTGAATCGGGCAGACAATAAGTTATACGATAATATGGTAAGACAGTAGCTTACGTGCTAGCAAATTTTTTTAAACTCTCTAGCAGAGTCAGTTTTATTGTCACAGCAAATATTTGCACATAAAAGCTAAAAATTTACAGATCTTTATATACAGTGTTTATCTAATAAATCAGACATCAATCCGGGCAGTTCTTGTTCGTCAGTGCGATGCGCTCGATCAGTTGTCCATCATTCTTTCATGGGGCGATAAAGCGCAGTACAGTGCTCCACTAGTTCATCAGTCTATCGACTATTGCCCTTGGACGTATTCACCAAAGTTCGTTTCCCAGCTTTATATCTTGAACTGGATAATAAATATTTTTGGAATGAGCAATTGTAGAACCTGATTATTGGGAGGTTTTGGTAGAAAAAGATTTAGAGAAGGATTTCTTCAACACTTAAAGCAGGAAGCAAAGATTTTATCTCTAATATCAAGAACAGCAAGTTGCTTTGAAATATTTTAGTACAAGACTGTCACTATTAAGGAAAACAGGAAAAATAGGAAATGGTAGCTGATTAACAGAAAGAAATATAAGAAACTGTAAAAGCATATAAGAAAAAGATGTAAGGAATTGTAATCAAAGTCAGAGTTAAAAAGTCAAAATCGTTTTCCTATTCACTACCTACGAGAGGCGAAGGCAGCCGGGAAGTAATTGGGGAGATAGAAAATGCCAGCAGCCATCCGCTAGCTATGCTGTCGATCTACCCCTCTTTCTAGGATTGTTTTAAGCTGGCTGATGACGGCCTTGACTTCTTGGCATATACTAGTGTCAATTTATCACGAAAACAAAATAAACGAATCGTAGAAAGATAGTTTTTTTT